TGAATCTGTCCAAACAATGTCTAACCAGCTGGAAATACAAATTGTAAAGGTGAAATCCCGACCCCTTGAAATCAACAGCAAAACTACGATTGACTTTACTGAGGCTGGTATTTTACCCTAAATGTTTACAACTGAGCTACATCATATTTGCAACATATTTAGGATTACAAATAGGAATGGTTCATAAACGATGCATTGAATCAGCCAAATCTGCTCCCATTGGCTCCAGTTCACTATTACCCTGCACCTTTACACCAGTGCAAAATGCTACCGTTCTGATTTGGAAGTATTTTTATGTCCTCTTTACACTTGTGTAAATGACTAAACTGGGTGCAGGACAAAGGTGAACTGTGCCCATTGACTTCAGTGGGTGCGGGATCATGTCCATAATAAATGTTAGTTTGAGCTTTTGGACCTTTAGGATTTTTTCCTGCACACCTTGCTCACACAAGTAATTCTCCTAGGCCCAGCTCCTGCAAAGTGCTGAGCCCCTTCTGCAAACCTGGAGGTTCAAGACCTTAGAGCATGTATTCTAACATTCGGACAATCTTTTAAACAACAAAGGATTTAATAGAACCAGTCAAGTTTCTTTTAGTCCTTTCTAGTATTGTCAACCTGAAACTTTCAAAAATCATGAATCAGGCCCCCAAAATCATGAGATTGGCTTTAAAATCATAAAATGTAAAGAAACACTGGGCTCTGTTTATTTGCCTTCTGGTTTTTGAACCTTTAGAATGCACTTACATTACCTTTCTAAGGTTTTCTCTGCAGATGGCTAGCAACTTACTATTTTTTAATTAAAGCTGAGATTCTCACAAACTCATGACTCCCGGAGCTAGGGCTTCATGATAAATAGCAAACAATAGGAGACGTATGATAAAAATCACTAGAGTTGGCAATGCTGCCCTTCTATTTCACAAGGTCTTTCTGGCTGCTCACAAGACACCCAACCATTCGTTAATACTCAGTTAACAATTTTTTTCCAGCCACCTGTTTGTGGTTGCAAACAATTCTGTTTGCACTTGGGTAAATTAGAAGGTGATTCATAAATAAATAGCCATGATGGAAAAAAGAGTCTTCTGTATTGTTTGCCCCCCAGTAATGAACGAAAGACTCCCTATAAGGATACAGTGCTAGTTTCAGATGCAAGTCTATGTTTTCCAGGGTGGTCGTAGCTCATTTCTTGAGTAGCTCAAAAATGCAATTCAGACTCAGAGTCTGCCACCCCGATGTTTAGTACTTTACCTCACAGACAGTCCCACTGAAATCAGTGGAAGTACTTGCAGATTAAGGTACTATTCAATGCGAGGACGAGTAGCAGAGTCCAACCTAAACTGGTTATTCATGAGATAACTGAATGCTCTTTCTGCAAACATCTCCCTCTGAAAGACGAACATCCATGAGGCCAATCAAAAGTCCGCTGGAGTCATTGGGACACCTTATATTGACTTCAGTGGGTTTTGGATCATCCCCTGTATGTTTTAAAGCAATTACACAAATGGTTGCCATGAAAGTAAGAGCCCAACCATCAGCCTTTACTCACCTGAGACCTTGGTTTTAGTGAGAGTACCCTTAGCACAGACCATGCAGTGGGATTCATTTGGGTGCTCTGGTGGATCCCTGTTGAAGTTAATAAGGCTCTGTACAGGTGCAAGGCCAACCCATGCGGCCTGACTGCAGGCTTGGGGCCCACCTGAGGAAGGGATCAGACCCAGACCCAGTAGTTTTAAAACCACTCTGTTGGAAAGTGTTTACTTAAAATGCTGAGACAAATAGTTCATTTTGCCCCTGTACTATGCAGAGTGGGACTGAAGGAAGAGGGACAGCTTTCAGGAGGGATCTAGTTAGGTGTGACACCAGAGGCTCCGGATTGTATGCTGGTAGCCCAGTGCTACCTGACAAACAGTGGCCTCTCTGCGTGTAAACACTGGTCTCTATGCATGTTCAATAAAAGTCTTTCTCCTGCAACTCCACCTGCCTGCTGCATCACTTAACAGCTAGCAAAACCACCACCAGCTCTTACACCAGTTTGAGTCACCCATTCCTAGAGATGTAACCCGAGAATCTTCCCTCTGCCATATTCGGACACAGGCATTGGCAGATACTGTCAGAAAGGACATCTGTATCTTTAATAAAACAATCACTGCTACAATTTAACATCAAGAATTAACATCGGTTTCCAGTAGTGCCACCAATGTGCTAGGCCCTGTACAAAAACAAAGGAAGCTATGTTCTCCACCCTGAAATCACTCCGCTTGAATTCTTCATAAGACAAGTGTTTTTTTACACATGGATTTAACTGTATATTATATCTTTAAAAAGTAGGACAAAGCCATAGTATTTTTCTCTTTTTATTTTACAGTTCACAATTAGAAACCTATCGATAAATTAAACAGTTCACCCTTCTGTTTGGGAGTTTCAAAACAACCCCTCCTCTTCCTAGTCGTGTTGCCAATGCCACATCATTCTGGAAAGATGGTTCGAAGTGCAATCCATCTAGGTAAGTGTAAATGAGAGGCAGAGCAGCAGAACTAGCCATCTGTTTTCAAGCCCCTTAAAGGTTTGCACGTGTTTTAGGAAATCAGCCAAAGGTAGAAACTTAACTGGCAGCAGGAAAAAAATTCCCTAAAAAATTTGGAATGGAAAATATACTGGACAGTTGGAAGCAAAATAATTTGAAAGACAACACATTATTTTATCAGTCTGAGAAGGTTACAAATGTAGAAAAGCATTTGAATGGGACTTTTAAAACCATGAGGCTGCCAGTTCATATTTTAAGGAACACTAGCAAACTGGAATGGCCCTTTTCATAGAATATCAGGATTGGAAGGGACCTCAGGAAGTCATCTAGCCCAACCCCCTGCTCAAAGCAGGACCAACCCCAACTAAATCATAGGAAGATACCTTAGGTAATGCTTTCTGAATTCAAAGCAGAATTATCAATTTAGGCCCTGATTAAGAAACACACTTAAGCATGTGCTTAACTTTAAGCGTGTGAGTATTCCCATTGACTTCAATGTTAAGCATGTGGTTAAATGCTTTGCTGGACGGGGGCAGCAGGTTTCCAATTTCTAAACATTAATTTGGCTCAGACTCCAAATATTGTCACCATTTCCAATATTTTCTTTTTATAACAACACATAAGAATGGCCCTACTGGGGCAGACCAAGGGTCCACCTAGCCCAGTGTTCTGTCTTCTGACAGTGGCCAATGCCAGATGCCCCAGAGGGAATGAACAGAACAGGTCATCATCAAGAGACCCATCCCCTGTCGCTCATTCCCAGCTTCTGGCAAACAGAGACTATCACAAATGTGGCACAAGTACATCTGTCAAAATGATGAGCTCCAGTTCCCAATGCATATAAATCCTTGGAAGAACACGAAGAGTTTTAAAGTTAAACCAAGCTGAATATCACAAGGGTGCTGTACAAAATCTGGGAGGGCAGCTTTCGAAAATGTCTCACTGCAATTATGCACTAATGCTGTGACCCTCCTTACCCCAGTGCCACAAATCTGAGCACAACAAGGGCTCCAGTATCTAGAAAAGCATGTGCCAATTGTCTTGAGCTCTGTTGGACTGTTGTTAGGGACAGCGTCTGTTAATCAAGGCTGCACTGGTGTCCCCTAATTCAGCACCCAGGGGAATGCTGCCCAAGTAACAACAACAACAAAAAAGGATGGCCGGAATGCCGCCCCTGGAATTGTGCCACCCCAAGCACGTGCTTGCTTTGCTGGTACCTAGAGCCGGGTCCTAGTTAAGTGGGACTTGAGTGGTGCATTTGCTTGTTTCATGTCCTCTGCACAGTGATGAATTTACCCTGCAATGAATTAAAAAGCCAAATCCAGAAACGGCTGAGTCAGCACTTGCCTTACCCAGGAGGGAGGGGGATGAGAAACCAGGAATGGAAAGAAAAAAAAAATAATGAACACACTTTTAAAGAGAAAAAAAAGTTATTTGTTTTTTCATTTATGCCAGCATTACTAATGTATGCATTACCAGCTATTCTGGCCATATCTGTCTACTGTTGCCAACTTTTGGCACAAGCAATTCTGTGTATCACAAGATGTAATTAATAATACTTAATAACAATACTTAGCACTTACATAGCGCTTTTCATATTCAAAGTGCTTTACAAAACAGATAATGAGTCCTCACAACACCCCTGTGAGGTAGGTAAGTATTATTATCCCCATTTTACAGATGGGGAAACTGAGGCAGAGAGGTTAAGTGACTTGCCCAAGGATAAAGAGGGAGTCAGAATTCAGGAGGTATTTGGCCTGATCCTGGTCTCTCGTACACTGATATAAACAAGGAGTAACACCCATAGATGGTGTAAAACTAGTGTACATGAAGATATCAAAATCAAGTCCCCTGACTCCCAGTCCTTGCTCAGGTCCCTTGACCAAACCTGCTCCACCTAATACAACAGGTTCACCACCAGAAATGCTACAGGAAATTGAGAGCACAGCAGAAGTGAAATCAGAATCTTAAGGCAACACATATTAACAGCTCCACAATTGCATATCAGGTTGGAGTGCACACCTATGGCTCTTTTATACCATTCTAACGGAGCCTAAACATGGGAGCAAAAGTAGTTTCGCAACTATAAGTGTAATCAGCTATGGGCCTTACTGTCCTCAGTCCTAAACCAGTGTAAATCAGGTGTAACTCAGCGGAATTACACCAGCATAAAACCGGTTATGAGAGCAGAATGAGGTTTTATGCAGAAGTCATGCATTCTGGACAGCTTCAGTATGGTTCACCCCTCTCTCTCTTCCCCCGCAACTCCAAAAGAATCTGATCGTATACCATTTCACAGTTTCAACATTTCCAACTCACTAGCTTTCAGCAATCAGCATTTAAACAGCACCATACAGCATTTCTAAGACTGTGTCAATACTTCCAAAAAGTGTCATTGCATGCAAATATCAAACATACAAAAACATCAAGAATGCTATGAGATGGTACAAAGGATATATATGATCACAAGAAGACCGTACACAATTTTATCTTACTTTTATTAAAAAGACCAAACAACTCACTCATACTTTAACTATGCCACTTATACGTTAGATCGTCATTCCCTAACCTGTGGAAATTCAGGTGCGTATCCCTCCATCTATCTACCTATCTAGAAAGAGAGAGAAACGGCAATCACACAGAGATACTTCTTCGGATCTGTCAGGCACAATTCATGTAAACAGGAAAGGAGTATTCTTTACACTTCTTCTGGCACTGTGGGATACAATGGGGAAGGGGAGTCACATGCGCCATTACTGACAAGGAAAATTAGCTTTGAATAGATGCAAGAGGAACAGAAATTAGATTGACTGATACACAATATACACCAAAAATCTGAAGCATTATGTATGTTGAAAAAGGTGGACAGCGGATGTCTTGTCTATTGTTTTGACTTTAGAAGAGAGGACTGGTATTAAGACAAATCCTTTGTTCTAAGTACAAAGGAAATCTCCTTCCAATGCATTAGTATGTCACAGCTGAACAGGGAGGAGGTGGAAATCACATCTGCCAAATGAAGTAGTTGGGACACCTCCAACAATAATACTTAAAAAACAGAGAAGAAAGTGACAGGTCATGTGCCATTTAATTCATTGCAACAATTCAAAGAATGCACAACAGCAGAAAGGAATCAGCAACCAAGTGATGCTTTGAAGTTGGCAAATATCTCATGACGCTTCACCTGTGTCTGTCTGGAGCATCAGCAAACAAGACCCAAACAAACTAAACTAAAAACCCAAACCAATCATATACAGTATTCCACTGATTTGCTTCCCTGCAGTGTTTTCAAATTACATTTACAGTAACAGTGAGGGGGAGAGATACCCAAGACCAATAGTAATTTTTTTTACTGGCTCAGCACCAGCTCAGAGAGAGAAAATGAAAATTAATTCTTCAAATGCGATCCTTGGCATCCAATTAAAATGTTGTCAACCAGCAGATGAAACCCTAAACTGCTGGAGGGTGTGAAGGGGGATTGATGCATGGTGCTGCTTGCATTCCTCTTCATTTGCTATGAAATCTGCTCTGTAGGCCTCATCTGAATATCTCCGATCTGGAAAAGACCAATAGGTGATTTTACAGTAGCACTGAAGCCCATTTTAAAAGGTTCGCAGTGTGCTAAACATAAACACGCTAAACATGAGTGAAACATAATAATGACAAACTGCAAATGAACACAATGCATATGACAAGATATAGATCCCTTCAGAGTTATTCAGCCACCAGTCATTAGGTTCTGTTAGTTTTTAATAACAGGTTTTTTTCTTTTAACCATGATTTTTTTCTTCTAACAGAATTACAGTGATTTTAATCTTAGTACACAGAAGAGAAAGAAGACAGCGTAAACTGATATTGGTTATAAATCCTCATGCTTCAGGGCATAAAGCAACTTCTACCGAATGAGAGTCAGGAAGGAACATTGCTCACAGCCAGGTTATTCTATAACCGCTTATAGCACAGATTCTTGCAACTTTCTCTGAAGCAAGTAGTGGCCACTGTCAGAGAGAGGACACTGGACTAAACGGGCCACTGTAATGATTCAGAAAGACCGCTCTTATATCCACATGTCTCATGCCCTGGCTTTACAGGAGCCCATGTAAAGATCTTGCTAGACATTTTTTTCATGTCCAAAGTCATCTGACATGTTTTCTTGCTTTCGTGGTATGGACTGATATCTACATGGGTCTCCACTCATTAATATTTTTTTCAGAGACTCTACAAATGTGGATTGTCGGGGGTTTGTCACTTCACATCAGCAAAGAGCTGAAACGCAGCAGAGAAGCAAACTATTTATTTATTTATTATATAGTGGGTGAAAAATATGTCTGGAAGCACAAAAGATTTGAAAACCCCTTTGGGACCCTCGATGAAGAGGCATAATGCGAGTACAAAATAGGTATCAGGCAGATTTCCTGAAGTGCTCAGCATCCAAAATCTGGCCATATAGCTGAGGAATGAGTGGAGTTTGTGCATAACACAGAGGGAGACATTCAAGTTATTTTCATGTCTGAGCCACAAATTCATTGTGATTTTAAAAGCAACTGAAAGTAAAAACTACTTCAAATGCAAATTTAATAGAGGCATAAAAGCAAGACAGCCAGGAGCAGAGGATCAGCTCTTCAGTGTCTAAGAACTATTGGATTTAGTTGTGGTGAGGTATTGGAAATTTGATACTTCACTCTGAATTCGCAGCTTGCAGGTGTCCTCACTGGTAACAGAACCTGTGCTCTTTAGCACTAAAAGCACAGGCTTCTGGAACTAAAGGAGCAGCAGCAGTAGTAGTCTGTTATCTTCTGTGTGGACCAGCCACTGGAGGGGAGCGGGTGCACCTAGGTGTCAGACCTGTTAACAGCCCATATGGCATCCTTGGGTGAAGTACTCAGTACCCCTTGGGAAGAGCTGAGGGACAGGAAGGATGGTTCAGTGGGTAGAATGCTAGCCCTGTAGGACACCTGCATTCAATTCCTGCTCCGCCACACGCATCCTCTGTGACCCTGGGCACTTAGCAAGATTGGGCCCTAAATTGGTGACTGGTAGAATCTGATCTAACCCCAAGAATGTCAGCAGGACATCAGGCGATGGGCAAGAGATGTCCATGTTCCTTCCATTTTATCTAGGTTCTAGAAGGAGTCCCAGATAACTTTTCTCTGGGGGCAGGAACTTTTTATCTTGTGGACGTACAGTCTTTAGCGGTTGGATCCTTGCAGTTTCAATGTTGCCACAAGGTACATGTAAACGAAAATGATCAATGTTAATCCCTAGGCCATGCTCTTCTGAGCACACAGCTGATATGGAGACTACAACGCTGATTAACAGATGTCAGATCTGCAAAATTCCCCTTTACTCTTTCAGTTACACACAACAGAGATGTCATTTTACATGAGCTGCAACTTACCTGTACATGAGGTGGAGCGCTTAGTACATATATGACAGCATTGGCCATATCTTCAGCTTTTAGACACTGGAAAGACAGAACCAATATTAGCCAAGACAAAGGATTACTTAGGAAAATATAACAGTAAAATTGCTCAGTTTTTAACAAACAACACTTAGTGCATTTCAAAAAGAAAAACAGACATGGGGAAAACTGCATAAACAATTTAACAAGGGAAGTGGATTGTTTTTATTTTTGCATCGGCTATTATTAATATTACTATTACAACAGTGCTTTGATGCATCAGCGGAGATTAGGCCCCCAGTGTGCTAGGTGCTGTACAAAAACACAGTGAGATAGGCGCTGTCCCAAAGAGCTTACAATCTAAATAGATGAGGCAGGCAAGACTCAGAAGGGAACCAGAAGCAGAGAGAGAAAGTGACTTGCCCAAGGTCACACAGCAGGGCAGCAGAAGAGTAGAAACTAGAACCTCGTTTTCCTGACTTCTAGTACCGTGTGCTCTCCACTACACCACTCTGCCACTCCTAGGAAGTGTATTTCACCTTTCTGGACCTCAGACACTATCCCTATGAGACATATTGCAAATACTTCTAGCAGATTTTCAGCCAGTGGCATAGTCATAATTTAATGCCTGCAAAGATGATTTTACCAGAGCAATAGATTTTCAGAACTGGGCTGTTTGCTAAGGAAAAATATATACTCTTCTCTCCCTGCCTTAGTCAGCGGCAGACTATTCAGTATCAAAGTTAAACATACTCTATGCACATCACTCACTTGTGCTGGCTTTTATGTTCCATACTGTGTATACACAAAAAAGGTACCATGATCTAACCAGCATAACTAGTGAGTTTGTGATGTGCAGAGAGTTTTCAAGCTGCCAAGGAAGACCTGCTCCCTAGGTTAGGCAAATTGTGATCACACACAATAGATTCTGGCAGGCTCAGGTTGGGTTTTAAGCTTGTTTTAATGGGATCTGTTTTATTTAGACACTTTCTTAATATATTTACAACCCAAAAGGCTGTTCAGAATAAAACTCCCAGTATAGTCATTGTGTTAAAGATAAAGGGACAAGTCCCAGGGTGTGTCCAAAAACACCTGGCCCAATAAGCAAAGGATAGCAGCAGCAGCAGAAACCACACATGGGAAAATCACCCTGGCAAGACTCCTCATTTCCCCCCTTAGAAAGGAGGTTTTGGGGTGAGCAAGGGATGTGGCCTGTGACAATGTGCATTACACAGATCCACTGGGCCAAAATCCTGCATAGGGTGGGGAGGAGAAGAATCAGACCATATCTGATACTCTTATCCTTGGCCTGGATTACAGCTCATGGCTTTACTTAGGGTCAGACCAATCAGTTGGGTTGAAGATTCCATCCCTCAGCCCCGATGTACTTCCTCACAGACCTAAACTTTCTGCCCTTTACCCAGGATGGAGACCTACATTCTGCTTTTGTAGTGGGGAAGAGGGGGCAATGTAACTAGGAGAGATATGGAAAAGCAACCTTTTAGCAGAAAGCTAGGGGTTTTATGAGGAATGGGGTGACACTCCAGACTTCATGGACAAACTGCGTAATAATTAGGAACATTAAAATTTCCAGACTGGATCAGTCCAGTGACCCATCTCCATACTGATGAGTACCAGCCATTTCAGAGGAAGGTACAAGAACCCTACATTTGTCAATTAAGGGATAATCTGCTCCCTTGGAAGGTTCCTTCCTGACTTCCATTAGTTTGAGGCTGGCTTGTGTCCTGAAGGGTTTATATTCCTCCTACAGCACTTCATTAAATAAATCAGATTTAAGATGAGCTCCAAAGGCAAGATGCTTAGTTTTTAAAAAATATTTTAAACCAACATCTCTACAAGAAGCTGGTTAGAGTCTGAATTTCCAAAACTGCAAGGTCGAACTTTCAGAAAGTGTAGTAGCTAATGGAGTACACATTCTCTCCAATAAGACACAAGTCACTTAAACCCACACAATGTTAAAAATTGGTTGATCTTTATACTTGGATGTTCTTCTTGTAAATAAGAAAATTTAAAAAAAAGACTGAGACATATTAAAATCTACAAGGTATATGTGGAGGTCAGTGGTTCAGTCTGAAGAGTCCAATCCTGCTGAGAACCTCCTAATGGGTCCTGAGTCCCTTCACCTCCCATTGATTTCAATGAGATTTGAGGGTGCTGAGCATTTTTCAGGAAGTGCTCAGTGACATGCAGACTTGGGGTCCTAAAAGATTATTAGTTAGAGAGAGATAATTAGCCATGCAATCAGTGTAAATGTACTCTGCATTAGTTTCTCAGTTCCCTACCCTAATGCTCTCGTAGGTTGCAGCAGCTCTTTCTGGATCATTATCGTGAAGTTTAAAAGCAAATCCAGTTTCCACCAGTCCTGGAGATATACACTGGAAAAGAACAGAGCACATCCTAATGGGATCTGTAACTCCCCTTTCATTAAAAAAAAAAAAAAAAAAAAACAATTATGTTAAGAGAATAGATATTGACTTAAAGATCACTGAAGGGTATTACCATGGGGACCTCTGATAGATATCCCCTACCCCACAAAGAGAAGGTTCAGCACAGCAAATAACAAAATAACTTGCAACACAGTATAACTGCTGAATAAAATACCTTTGAGAGCCAAGCTTACTAAACAGTTCGAGCAAAGCTACTATCTGACTGGTATTATCCATTTTTAATATATTTCCCCTGCTTCCTCAGTAAGTTACTGCAGCTCAAAAAAGGCTATTCTCCCAACAGAATCCATATCTCCTGTCTCTTGGTCTGGTTCCCCATCCCTTTCTCAGAAGGGAAACTGAGGCACAGAAGGGCTAAGTGACTCGCCTGAGGTCATTCAGTGAGTTAGGGACAAAGTCAGCAGTAGAACACAGGTCTCATGACTCCCAGTGCGAGGCCTTGTCCATTCACATTTCTATACTTACGTCTATACTCACGTTATCACTTCACTAACATGAATTAAGCCTCCTCAGACCCTGGTGAGGTAGATAAGAATTATTAACCCCATTTTACAGATGAGGGACCTATGGCATAGATAGGTTAAATTTCTACAAGCATCCTTAATTTTGGTTGCCTCAACTTTTGGGTGTTTAACTTGGACAAATTAGGTGCTGATTTTCAGTGTGTAGTATTCTGAAAACTGTTAAATCTGTACGCTGTCACTTTTAATTTCAGGGATTTTTCCTGGTCCTTCTTGCAGGTTAGGGAGGTTGGTAGGGGGTCATGTGATATGAGTCTAACAGCAGTCAGTCAGCATTCAGCTTACAGTAAGGTTGGGTGAGTTGTGCCGCTCTGTTTTAGGGAGCAGTCTGCTTTCTCGCTCTCTGTTTATTTGCGGCTCTTACGTGTTATTCTGAATTCTAAGAAATAAAGCAGTGTTACATGGCAACCTTGTGGTAACAGTTTTTATGTTTTTATCTAACTTCTCTCGGTGTGTGCCACGAAACATAACACAGTGGTTCTGAGAGCCTGTATCTTTGAGTAGTAGGTTCTCAACATCCCTTGAAAATCAGGCCTGAGATATCTCAAGTTTGGGTGCCCAGAAGCTGAGGCACACAGCAAGTCAGAGGCAGAGCCAGGAACAGGTCTTCAGCCCTCTGGTTTAGGAGTGCTACCCTCGCCCTCAAAAACATGACTCAAAAGATAAAACTTCCGACACACATCACGAGCGAGCATTCCACTGTTCATTACAACAGCCGAGAGAAAAACCACTCACTGTAGCTCGTATATGAGTCTTGGCTTCCCTAAGTTCTTGTCTTAGCCCCTCCGTCAATGCTGTAACCGCGTACTTGGTGGCACTGTAAAAATGAACAACTGACTGGGGTACGACACTGTGACCGTTCATGCTGAGAAGAGAACAGAAAGAAAGGGGGTGATGGGGGGGAGAGCAGGAAACAGCCTGAGACGTCCCAAACAGGAACCAGCACCCCAAAGAGGGATGGGGGGGAACAACCTACCTATCCGACATGGATGAGTACATATGGAATTTCCCCCTTTCCCGCTAATGGGCTGTGAATAGTGGAGGAGCATAGTCAACTATAAAATGAAATGGGGGGAATCATGTATGCTGAGATTTTTTTTTTCTTTTAACACCATTGATTTCTAGAACTAGTTGAAAAGTTCGGAATTTTTTTTTTTGAAGGGGTGGGGGCAACATTTTTATGACAATCTTTCTGGCTTTTGACAGGAGTGGTCAGAATGTTGAAAACATTTGAAATTTTCAATGAAAATGTTCCAAGTTTTTAACCAGCTCTACTGAAGTTCCCCAAAACAAATTAAAAAGAAAGTTCAGACCCATCCCAAAGACCGAGCTCCTAGGGCTTCAATATGGGATAACACTAAGGCTCTGTCTACACTGGGAGCGTTAACCAGAGGTAGCTGGTCAGTGGTGTAGCCACACCAGAGAGTCAACAAGAAAAAAAAAAAAGCTAAAAGCTGTGATTTGTACTGGTGCTATATGGCTGGATAGACACCAATGGTTGTAACCAGGAAAAATCTCCAGTAAACAAAGCCCGAGTTTATTAGAAGGTGAGAGGAATGTTTGTAATTGTAGGTACAAACAGAATAGGACAACATACAGGGCCCAGCATCAGTTGAAGTCAATATTAGTACCAGACATGGGATTGTATCATGCCAGTGCAGAGGGCCAATAAAATGTGTAAACCCTACATCGTGGCTGTGAATGGAGTCCCCCTTCCCAGACGGCTTCTCCATGCTACCCCTACATTTGCCAGCTCAGTGGGCAGCGAAGAGTCTGGGCCAGGGAAGAGACCAGAAGATCCATGTGTTTGTGCAGATTCTTAAGTGGGTCAGCTGTGGTCTCTGCCTGTACCTTGGTCCTGGGCTAGAGGAGTGAATTTCATCTTCCCAAACCCAAAACTTCACCCACACAGAGCTCCATCATTCAGGCTTTACATGAATGAATGTTGTCCATGAACTGCCAGCGTGGGCGCCTGGGAGAGAAGAGGGCTCATTGATAGCCTGTGTCCCGATACCGCGTGCACAGTGGCACAAGCAGCAGCCTTATCTGGAAAAGGAGAAGCTGTGAAGTGCTACAGTACAGGCCCATTACTAGAGCATGAAACAATGTGGGACTAGTCAGCAACACATACTGGCAACCTGCTGCATGAATCTTTGGTATCGAAAACAGAAAGGCCCAAAAACACAGATGCACAGAAAAACTCCCAGTGAGATACAGAGACTTCCAGAGACAAGCAGCAGGGGAGACAGGGATGGATAGCTTTGCACTGTAAAGCAACAAAAGAAAACAGCGAAGAAAGCCAACCCACAGCAAATTAGGGTTATTTTCAGTGACAGCCACAATCCAGTCTCTCACCTGTTAATGTTAATAATGTGGCCATCATCAATGTTTCTCTCCTTCATGGACCGATAGACCTCCCGGGTGCAGATACTTACGGCCATAACGTTTACCTGAAATAGCAGGGAAAAAATGAAGATTAAAGCCCATTGCAGTGATCAGGGATTTCATGCTCATCCTTGTATGCTTGGGATAAACTCTGCCTTGACTTACACCCCATGTAACCACACTGCAGCCAAAGAAATGGGTTTTGCTTAAATATACTAACACACACTTTAAAACAGGTCATGGAGGGAAATGTGGCTGGAACTAGCGTTGGTGACTTGCAAAGAATCCACAGCCACCTGGGACTTCACAGTTCTCACTACAATTCAACCACTACCATTCAGAACTTAGCAGGATAGAAGTCTGATCCTTCAGCTTCAAAGCACAGGTTCTTACAACTTGAGATAAAAAAGACCTGCCATTAGCTGTCACCAGTATAGGTCCTCAGATAAATGCCAGGCAGTTCTGATTCCACCCTGTAGAGTGCAGTGGTGATATATACACCCTAGCCAGTTCGTTACAGTATCTATAGGACTTGTAAAGTTTGATACCATAACAACAACATCATTCATTTTAGGGGATTAAATTCTCTAGGTTTTGTCTCAGCCAGTATGAATTTGATTTAATTGTTTTAAAACGAAAGTGAGAGGAAACTCGTGTTTGGTTGGTTTTGAGTTACGGGAAAGTGAAAACTATGTTTTCTCATTGTGAGTTCTTTGAGGCAGGGACTGACTTTTTATTCCGTGTTTGTATGACACCAAGCACAGTGGGATCCTGGTTCATGACTGGAGCTCCTCACGGCTACCACAATTAAAATAAATAAATTAAATAATAATAATAAATAATAATAGTAAAAAAAATTTTTTTTTACTACACATTGGCTGAGCATATAAACACTACCTGGGCATTTAGCCAGCACAATGCCATCACACTGGGAACTTGAGGCTGAGATCCCCACATACCAGGTTAAAAATTTACCTTGGTTATGTGGGAGGTCTCTAGAGGTCTCACCAAAGTTGCCCTGTATTCCAGGGCTGGAGTAAAGCCCAGAATAGGCAGAGTATTTCAAATCTTTGATTTCACAGTTAGCAAGGTCAAGGAAGTGTGAATGGATTGTTTCAATCCAAATCTTAAACAAACAACCAAAAAAAAAACAACCTTTGCGATACAGATCTTGGCTTTTAGTAGCACAAAAAGCCTCCATGAACACCAATGCTACTCCCCGTGAAGCCGTAAAGTTGTGAGTATAATGGCCTCAGATTCTTATCTGATGTAAATCAGCATTATTCCACTGAAGTCAATGGAGCTGTGCCAGCTTACATTAGCTGGGGATCTGGCAGCTTGCCTCTCTATTAGGCTATTTGAAGGAGCAAGGACAGGGGGGACGGGGGGACATTTCTGCACTGTTTAATGTAGAGGGCTAAAATCATCATGATCTTGCAACACAGAGCGCTTTACAACATACAGTTACGTTTGGGGAGGATGCCAAAAGTTAACGTTTTACCATCAGGAAAAAAAACCAAAAACCCCACCCACCACATTACGAATCTTATTAACGGCGCTACTTTAGTGACAAGTGTAGGGAAATCTATCCGTAGCATCAAAGAGCCTCCACGCCTCAGCTGGACAAAGGTGAAGAAGCAGCTGCCAGGATTCATTTTGCTTGTCCTGAGGCTCACACAATCATCTCAAGTAGTCGAAGCCTCTCCAGGAGAACGTGTTAGATCTACTGGCAAAATCTGCCAGCGTCAGAGCTACCAGTTTCACGGGCCTCTGTGAAAATGTGCCTTACACGGTACTGTATTGTCGCTTTGCATACACGCACAGCAGAGGTATAGTCAAACAAACTGCAAAAAGCACCCCCGGTCAATGAAGAACTGTCAAAAGACCCAGAGAGCCAGGACTTTTCACCCAACCCTGCACCGTGCAAGAGTTACTGAAAGTGGTAGTATGCATACTAGAATCTTTTGCCTCTGGGCTGGAACGTAGCCCACATGGAGTGGATGGAAGGTTCTGCTTGAATTCGTGGCTGTAAAGGTCAGTGGGTAAAACGTGAAGGAGCTGTTCAAAGATTACTGTGTAAAATAAGGTGTGTACACAGCACAGGACTCCAGATGCTCCTGAGCAGAATGTAGAAGGCTGAGCAGACTTTAGTCCGGTCTCATTTAGAGCACAATATTATAAACAAGCTGGGAGAATAGAGGGGAGAATGGAAATCTCATAAACCGGAGGAAAGGAGATGGAAGATTTTTAAGAGCAGGTTAGATACACACTTATCAGGGATGGTCTAGATAACACTTAGTCCTGCTTTGAGTGCAGGGGACTGGACTAGATGACCTCTCAAGGTCCCTTCCTGTCCTACTATTCTACGAAAAGAGAGGAAGGATAGTCCTGTGGTGAAAGCACCATACTGGGGCCTAGACACTCAAAGGTATCTAGGTTCCTATTTCAGTGAGAGTTAGGCACCTAAATACCTTTGAGAAATTGAACCTGAGTCTTTGGGCTGGTGTGGATGGGCATGACAGGTGGGACTACAGCCCTGCCTCCTAACCCTTTCCCTTTGGAGGAGCTTAGCCCTGAGTGTCCCCTATACAGCTAAGGCTATAACTATGACCAGCCTCTGCACTGAGGATGCAGGCTCTTTGCATCCTCCCCCACTTGGGCACTCTTGCAGGGGGCAGCCATAAATCACGCCATTAAAGTTTCAAGGCCTACCAGACATTGCACAAGGTGGTGGCTCTTGCGGAGTTTGAAAGCCTAGATCTCTGATTTGGTGTTAAACGTTAACCTTTGGTTATCTGTTTTCTGGGCATAAACCTGGCTGCTAGAAGCCTCTCTGTGCCAGGAGATGCAGGGATTGTTCTCCAGGTATGGTGTGTGTGCGCTCCTATCCCAAAGCCACCACCTTGTGATAATGCAGAGCCATCCCATGACTCGTTGGGCGTTGAGATTTGGGGTGAGATTTTCAAAACCCCACTGGGTTTTATATCCCTAAATCATATAAGTGCTTTTGAACCCTTCCCCCCATCCCCACCCCCGGTTCACACCCTAGCCGGGAGCTGCATTGTACATGTGGAGACGAGCCATGCTGAGGAAGCAAACATTGTTTTCATTCTGCCTGTGATTTTATGAGCTAGATCTTTAGCTGGTGTAAAATCGGCACAGCTCCATCAAAGTGAACAGAGCAACGCTGATTAACACCAGCTGAGGACCTGCTCCAACACATGTAAAACCTTTCCTATTTTTGATCAGAGGGATTGTTGCCTTTGATCCATTTTGCCCGGGATCAGCCAGTTCTCATTTCTGACCTTTTCAATTTCTCCGCTACTTTCTGGCTCTACCTGGAGTGATTCAAAGAAAAGAAACTCAATAAAGAGATATTGGAAAAGTTGGTAATTTGCTGGGAGTCCCAAAATAGAATCAGCTGAGCAATATCCTACCAATATACCTCTCCTCTCTCAGCAATGGATTGGCAAGAGGCCATTTTTCTGCCCATCCAGCTGGAGACAAAGTACCTTAATAGGAAACAGAATCAGGGGGAAATTCAGACAAAACCATGCTGTAATACCAGCCAAATCGGAGGTCCTTCTCGAGATTCTGGCCAATGTCAATGGGAGTGCATCCGACCAAGGACTGATAAAAATCTCAGAGTTTGTTTCCCAGTTGCTCCATTCTTGCACTTAGGGGAAGGGCACAAGGGTGGCTTTAAACCACCTTTGTAAGCCCCATATGCTGGGGTCCTGCAGGAGCCTGGCTAGCCCCTGCCTTGAGACTGCTCGAATGTAGCCCTCTGTGAGCCCCGGGACACAAAGAATAGCCATAATGCAGTATGCATCCGTGATGCCCCCGACATCCCCCTACACCAGGGGCTGGAGCCAGGGGCTCTCTCCACACCATTCAAAGGAGCTCCTCTGTACAAGGGGCATTTTGTGGATACTTTCAGGCTAGGGAATATTTCCACTCATTTTAAGGCCCCTTTATGGGGCCAGAGTGGCATAAAATTCACACTCATGCACTGTGAATTTGCTAAATGCCAACAGCTTGCTCAGTGCTTTAGAGGACACAAAGCGGATGTGGTCCATGCCCTAAGAAGCCTGCAGTCAGGGGCGCGGAGGGAATAAACAACAGACAACAGTTCAGGTGACGAGGATCTGGAATCCTGCAGCAGAGCATTAGGGGCTGTAATAAATAAATGATAGCACATCTTCGGCTGGTGAAGCTACAGGAACAAGTTTCAAGGAAGAAACATGGGAAGAGGGATCGTTAAAAGTCAAAGTCAGTCTCAAAAGCTCATAAATGATGTAAAGAAAGAAGGAACAATTTAAAAACCCTTCCAGTAGATTTAAGGCCATAAATGTCTCCTAATGAAGGGATCTACGGTTATTTGGGGATTTTTTTTCCCCTCTCCTTCAGCACAGCTGGACTTTGAAATGCTTCCGTAACACCCTTCAAAATAAAAGCGTTCTCTAATGCTTTTCTTCCTGCAGAACATTTGAAGAAATTCTCTACGTACTGTTCAGAGCACTGCGAAGACCCAATGGCCCATGAAAGGAGCTGGCAGCCTCCGTTTCAAGAAACTCTTGAAAAGTTTTGGAAAGTGCATCAGAACCAGACCAGACAGATGTTGATTAGAGGCACACATGTGGCACTCAGTAAGCATATCCCTCTGATGCATATGTAGTTAGAGAGAGACAGCAAAAGCCCCACTAACAGACCGAAAGTTATACTCAGCTACAGTGTGTTCAGAGAGTGAGATTTCCAAGCTGTGAAAAGGGGACTATTCAGAGAGGAAGAAAAATCCAGAGCTATTTTTAATGGCATTTTCAATGTTTACTAGCAGGTTAAAAGTCATGAGCCAGGTTCAGTAAAGCTGCTCAGATCAGGATGGCTTATAGCACACGGGGACCTGTGGTTTCCATGGACTTTCCCTCCAGATTGAAAGTGCCACTGAAACTGGGTTCATTAGACACAAGTTAGGTTCAGCTCTCAGCTGCTGGCAAGCTTTCAATAAAGCCGTCATTTGGATAATATTTGGACATCCCGGTTTATCACAGGCGGCATAACATCACCCTGACAATTAATGCCACAGCTAGGTCAAAGCAGACACACACGGGTATGTTGTCTGCACACAATGAGCAGAACATACATTTCCAGAATGGAGGACTCTCTTTGTCATTTCCCATAACTTAAAATTAGAAAAAATAAAGTTTCCAGAAGAGGGAGAGAGAACAGAAAGTATCTTTCATGCTGTAAGATCCCAAATCACCTCACAACCCTGCCTCCACTGCAGATGGACTTCTGACCTTTAAAGGCACAGTGTGGTACAGAAAACAGAACCATAAATACATGCACTTATTGTTAATATTACAGTAGTATCTCCAGCTAAGATTCTGGTCCCATTATGCTAGGTACTGTATGTACATATCATAGAAGACTGTTTTTGTAAATAATGTGATAGAATTTCACAATTTCCTAGTACGGCACGTGAAATCGGCTCAGTGGTATCCAGCTCTAACCAGATTTTGAACGGAAAATAAAGTAATAAAGACCAGAAAAAAAGGAATGCTATAGCTTATTAGGCTGAGGGGCGGCTGACTACAGACCTGAGCAAGCAAGATTTAAGCTAACTTGGGGTATGTTGGCTCAGGCTGCAATCACACCCAGTGGCTGCAGTCTAGACATACCCTTATGTGAGTGGACATTTGATACAACTACGTGGTAATGACTCCCTGAGTGTGCAGGGATAGGACCATTCTCTAGGGCTCCTGGAATCAGCATGCCACAGATTCCAGGTCACCAATATTACACACAGACCAGGAGAGAACATTCTATCACATGAAATCTATTAATCAGCCGTGGGTTATAGATACATCATCCACTTCCAAGGAGACCTTTGGAGCATTTGTCTACTATAAAGGGGACCTCCGTGTTGAAGAAGTGTGACACGATCACAACAAAGTGCAAATCTACATGAAATTAAAAGCTTTTGTATTTTGGTACCAAGTCAAAAAAAAAAAAAAAAAGGGGGGCTCATGTACTGGATTTGTCATATTTTTGTTTGGGGGGAGGATGATTTGGAGAGGGGGCTGCTTGAAAATAGGTCCTTTTTTTCAATTAAAATGAAAACGAGGCCATTCCCAAGTTAAAAATAATGGGAGCTCAGCACCTCTGAAAATCAGTCCCAAGGTAAAATATAATCCAGTTAAAATTCAGAATTAAACAGTGATGCAGTATTGCAGACCCCAGTAATATCACAATCCATAGTTTGGAATCCATGTAACACAAAATGACGAAGCATAGTTTTGGCAAGAAAAAGCAGAATAGTCCACAAGTGGCAAAGCCACAAGAAAGCAAACTGTGGTCTTTGCCTTCACGAAAGAAGACAGCAACGGCAGACCTATCCATGTAATGAAGTCATCCTGCAGGTATGTAGCAGACTCTCCTGGAATGCTGCCACTTCTGTAGCCCAGTGGGCTAGTTTGCCTTTATTTACTGCTTTGCATTATATTCTGATTTGCATTAGATTTAGCAGTAATGCAAGAAACCTACAGGCCTGTATCCTGTAAGACATTAGCTTCAGCAAGTTAGCATAAGGCTAAGACCTGTGACCCTGTGAACTTTGAACAGATAAACTTTGCACAGATAAACGGCCCAACCGAAAACCCCAAGTATTTGGGGAGTTTAAGGGGAAGTTCTGACCACAGATAAATAATTTAACTACAGAAGTGTCCTGGCAATGAACTGACGTACATAACAGGTACATGAGATACATTTAAGGCTGGCCTGCTTACTTGCCTATATATCTTTTCTTATACGTTTCTTATGGGTTTGATTATTTGTTTTATTATAATAGGTTTATATTAGTGTATATTTTGGCTGTAACATAAGGTACCTGCAAACCACATCCTGTATGTTGAGCTAAGGCAAAGTTAGCATACATATGGTTTGGGACCTTTCACTAGATAAATGGTGATGAACTAAAGCATATGGTTCATATATGGCTGCAACCTTTAACATAAAGAATGCATTGAAGTAGGTTGGCATAGGGGCTTTCCTAAGTTCATACCCTTTTAAACTTAACAGGTACACCACCACTTGGAACTTGGAAAGAGCCAAAATAACCAGTTAGGACAGAAATAACAAATGTGATACCTAACCACAAAAGGGCCATGGTAACGAACAGACGTATACGATAATAAGTTAGGATCATTGATAAACTAACCTGTAGGAAAAAGACACTCCAACATCAGTAAGGTGAGGAAATACAAATAAGGAGAAGGGAAAAATTCCCTACTGAACATGCATCAAACATAGCGGCAACAGCATAATGTATTATAAAAGCCTAAGGGGGGTAGGAGAGAGAGATTTAGTCCTTGGGAGGTGCCACAATGATGGCCACTGATGAAGATGAGGAAGGTGATGGTGATGAGGAAGACGATGGCTAACGTTTCAGGCTGTTCTACAAGGGATGGTGTGAGTATATGGGTGTGCAGATGTACATGCTGTCGTATTTCTATCTATCTTCCTAAGTTGGGGTGTTTGTGACCGTGCTAAATATATTAATAAACTATATTTGTAAAGATAAGAGAGTTCCTATAGTGTGTGTATTGCAACTGTGTACATCAGGGTTCCCAACTGTATAATAATTTAAATAATACTGGGCATGATCTTGGGGCAAGAATCTGGCAGCCCCCAAAGTGATAACTGGGGATTCTAAACTAATCAATATAATTAATACATAATCTAAAGATCAGGCAACACTTCTAGGGTGGAACACAGCAGTTGTTTAACAGCACACAGCAACAGTGCTCAATTGAGATGGTGAACCTCTGTGAGGGGTGGAGATTTTGCAACACTTCTAAGACTATTTGTTAGGCTGTGCCTTCACATTTGCCAATCTTTTTCCCATGAAATTTATACCCATGTTTCACCCCCTGCCAGAAAGTGATCTCATTTAAAACCAAAACTTATGTTTCTTGGTAAAGAGAAGCCTGTGATGAGTACTATATTGGGGCAAAATAATCACTCCCCACCCCAAACTAGGCCAGGATCAGTGGATGCCTACAGCATATCAAGATAGAGAGGCGGGTCGATTGGCTAGGACACTGGGTTGTGACTGAAACTGGGTTTGATCTCTGGCTCAGCCACACCCTGCCTGGGTGACCGTGGGTAAGACACTATCTACCTAATGCCTCTGTTCCCCATGTGGAGACAACAGAATTTTCTACCTCACAGGAGTGGCCTGAAGATAAAATCCATGAATGACTGTGAGGTGCCCAGATACTAGAGTGATGAGGGCCAGATAAATACCTAGGTAGACATACCACAGTGTATTTTTTAATTAGGATGTCCTCTCACCATCCCTGCTCCTTATTTCCCCATTGTCTCTTTGTATTTGGTTTTCACTCCACCTGGTCTCTGCTCCATTTTTTGCCCTATTTTTTCCGGTGGAGAGTTCCCTCCCTTTCTGCTCCCTTTTCCCCCAATCTGTGCCCTACTCGAATCACTCCTACATTCCAGATGGTTCAAGAATCAGGCAAAACACATTTTCCCACCCCTAGCACCCAGCCAGCAGGTGACACTTGTCTCTGCATCCAAACGCTTGGTCATGGCAAAGACTCGCTTCTCTCTGTCCAGCCCATCATAGTTCCCATTGTCTCGTGGGCAAACTACTCACATCTATCATCATCCTCCAACCCTCCGTTTTCCCAGACAGCAGGGGCTCGGGGCGAGCCAAGCCAGCATTGTTGATGCACACATCAACCCCTTGATGTAGAGTCTTGATTGCAGAGAACATAGATAGGATCTCCTCTTCATTGGACAGATCGCACTTATAGGGAATTAGGATGCCAGGGTATCCCGCACTCTGGCATTCTGCTGCCAATTTCTAGAGAAAGAAAAAAGGAAGGAAGAGAAAAGCAATCAGAATCCCTTTCCCTGGGAAAGGCCCAACTGATCAGCTGTGCACTTCATTTCTGCCAGCAAGTACTTTCGTCATTAGTTTGTATTACAGCAGCACCTAACAGCTCCAACCAAGATCAAAGCCCCACTGCGCTAGACCTGTATAAATGCATAGTACGGGACAGTCGCTGCCCCGAAGAACTTGCAGTCTAAATAGGAGAGACAGACAACGGGAACAGAGGCACAGACGGGGAAGTGACTCACTCAAGGTCACAGAGCCAGGAACAGAACCCAAATTCCAGCGTGGTACCCTATCCACTGGACCACGCTGCCTCTGCAGATAAGGCTGCCAGAATCTCCTGTTCTGATGACTAAAATTATGGTCCTTGACCCTTGATTTTAAAACGTCTTCGCAGAAAGGGACTAAGGCTAGGTCTACACTACAAGCTACACTACTGTAGCTATGCCACTGAGGCACAGTAGTGTAGACACTTGCTCTAGCGATGGAAGGGGGGTTTCAGTCACTGTAGTAAATCCACGTCCTCGAGAGGTAGTAGTTGGGAGAATTCATCCATCATCCCATCGACCAAGCCATGTCTAAATCGGGGCTTAGTTTAGTTTAACTACATCTCTCCAAGATGTGATTTTTTCATACTCCTGAGCAATGTAGCTACATCAGCCTAAGTTTTAGGTGTAAACCAGGTCTCAGACTTGGCAAGAGGAGGCCTGATCTTATGTGTAGCATAGGCTGTCTTGCTAATTGCCTGTCACTTGCACATTACATTTGCTCATCCAGCTCCACAGAGCTTATCCTCTTGGGTTGGATGCTATAAATGTCACAGACATAACTACTCAAAACTGAATTCCCCTTGGTTTGCATTTGTAAGGCCAGATCCTTAGCTGGCGTAAATCAGCATCATTCCACTGAAGTGAATGGAGTTACATTGATTTACACTAGCTGACAATCTGGCCCCATGCTGTCTAATGTGTGTGCTGGATTGTAGTATTTTACAGTAAGAAGATCACCTCTGCACCTGGCAGATTTTTTAAATATCAGCCATTTCCAAGAAGCTTGAATAAATTGAACCAGGGCACAGCATGGACTGTGTTCTCAGAACCATTAAAGGATTTATATAAAGTTCAGTCTTGGCCCTTATGACTCTTCACTGAAGTCATTTTTTAAACACTTAAATGTGTTTATTATTCAGATCACTTAATTCAGCCGCCTTGCATGGTGCACATAATTGTCAACCTCTACATTTATAATAAAGAACAACAAAAAGCAAAATTTGTCCACTGAGCCACTGGGCAGTAACTCAAACAAAACATATGCTCTTATCAAATAATCCCCCCAAAAACACCCAAAGGAGAGAAAGCCTTGTAAAACAGATAGCTTTGCCTTCTGTCCTGAAGATGGTCAGCAAATTTAGGGCCCGATCCAGTACTGTAAACCATGGGAGCCTTTCCATTTACTTCAATGGGAATTGGATCAGGCCTGGGGAGGAATGAATTCAAGTCAAAGGTCCTCCAAACACACCAATCCAGCACTGTTAGCTTGAGCTTTCCATTGATTTCAATAGGACTTAAGTATGTACTTAAAGTTAAGCACATGTTTAGGTCTTAGCTGCATCAGGGACTTGGTTTAAGCTGACTGGCTTCCATACAAGTACTTTTCAGCGCCATCCGCACTACAGCGTATGCACCATGAAACACTGATTTAGATCCACCGAGGGTCTGAGGTCTTGGCACACCCCAAAATGTACAGTAACAGAGCCCACGCCTGGAGGTGACTTGCTGTTGATTTAAGTTTCATTCATGTGGTTTAACTAGCCAAAATAAATTACAAAGCACCAGCTCTTGAAGGAATCTTCCTAAAGGGCACTTAGGTTTGGGAGGACTGGCCTGTCTGCTGCCCACAAGGAAGTGATCGAGGTAAAGGTCTAAGGATCAGATCCAGCAGCCACTGACGTCAATGGAAAGACTCCCCTGGATGTGAGTGGGCACTGGATCAGGCATTAGCATTGCTGTGCAAGAATGATTCCCAGGCTAGTGATCCAGCCCTGATCGTCCAAGGTGACTTACTGTGACAGACGTAAAGGGTACCATATATAATAATATATATTATTAGTATTAATAATAATACAAATAATTAAATTGATCAATTATTATTAAATAATTAATCATAATAAATATTACCCTTCCCTTACCAAGTGATATATTCAAAGGGGTTAGCTCTACAAAATGGACTAAAACGTATCATTAATGCTTTTAGGTCATTCTGACCTCCTGTATATCAGAGGCCACTAAACCACCCATACTCAACCCAACAACCAGAGTTAGACCAAAGTACTGTATTACGGCCTTTGGTGACTAAACTATTGTACGCCCAACCTCGCTCTTCCCAGTTGAACTGAGGTGTTTGTTTTATAAACCAGTCTTTGCAGTAACAAGTAATTTAAACAACAACTAAAAGGCAAGCAAAAACCATGCCTGGCTTCTGGTGAGTCCTGTAGAGGACAGGGTCTGAGTGAAATTCACTCTCAAAAATACAGACGCAGAGCTTTGCTAATGCAAGCAGCAGGAGGGGATGAGTGATTTAAATTGAGCTCTCCGCAACAATCAGTTTGTCAAAGAAGCATCAGTGGAACATCGACATTAAAAGAACTAGCTCATTTTTAAAAGACACGGGGTGAAATAAATTCTGCCCCACCGAAGGCAATGGCAAAGCTCCCATTGATTTCAATGAAACCAGGATTTCCCCCACCGTGTGTACATTTTGGGAACTAGTTACCTTGACATTGTCTTTTAAAATTAATATATAAGACAGAGTGAAAGCGTACCAGAGTTCACACATTGCCTTCTTGGAATATAAATACTCAGTTGGAATGTTAAACAACAACATATACCATATAAAGAGTTCCTTTCTTTGGGGGGAAAAAATTAAAAACCAAATCAGTAAATGAAACTGGATTCTCTTAACTGTTCCCCTTCCTTTTCCATAAAATATGAGGGTTACAGTTGGTTCACATTTTTCAAAATTCACCTTTTTGATTACATTTTCCATTGAAATATCTATTTTTGCCCAAGAGGGTTAGAGGGGGAGGGAGAAATCACAACAAAATGTGATTCTCTCTCCCCTACTCATTTTCTGATTAGCTCCAGTCAGAATTTTAAAATATTAGCAACTGCTTCAGGGGTGTTTTGGAGGGGTTTTTTTTGGGGGGGGGCCTCAGTCAGGGAGGGGGAGTCAGAAAACCTCTGTTTTGTTCCCAGTTACTGCATTCGTTTGTGTGTCACAGCCACGTTTTCAAAAGTTACTGTTTCATGTACTTCCACCTTTAGAGGCTGATCTTCTCCTTTGAACCTAATTTTCAGAGGCACTCGGCTCTCACTGACTTCAATTGGAGGTTTGCACTCTCAGAGCTCTTAAAATTCAGGAAGTTTGGGACTCCATCAAAGTCAACAGAGCTATCCTGATCTACACCAGCTGAGAATCCAGCTCAAAGAATCTCAGAGGTGGGTACCTAAAATCAGCGGCTACTTTTGAACATTTTGACCTGAACGTTTCCCACTGGCAACACTAAAGCGCTTTAATGTGGCTTGTGTGGTTGTGGCAGAGAGCTCTCCCTGCGCTCGAAAAAAACCCACTTCCACCAGGGGCGCGGCTCCCAGCACTGGTGCACTCTTTTACACTGGCACTTTACAACGCTGAGACTTGCTGCACTCGGGGATGTTTTTTCACACCCCTCCGTGAGAAAGTTGCAGCACTGTAAATTGCCAGTGTAGACAAGCCTAATTCTGACTTGCCTCACAGGCATATTGTGAGGCTTTATTCATTCATGTTTGTGAAGAACTTTGAGATCTTGGGTGGGAAAGAGCTACTGTATTCCAGGTTTGGACAGGTTTCAGAGTAACAGCCTTGTTAGTCTGTATTTGCAAAAAGAAAAGGAGTACTTGTGGCACCTTCGAGACTAACCAATTTATTTGAGCATGAGCTTTCGTGAGCTACAGCTCACTTCATCGGATGCATACCGTGGAAACTGCAGCAGACTTTATATACACACAGAGAATATGAAACAATACCTCCTCCCACCCACTGTCCTGCTGGTAATAGCTTATCTAAAGTGATCATCAAGTTGGGCCATTTCCAGCACAAATCCAGGTTTTCTCACCCTCCACTCATTATCATGGTATCTGAGCTGGAGACCATGTAAAATAATATTCATAAAGCTTTCAATGTACACACACGGCACCTCCAAATAGGGCCTTGTGTCACTATAAACGATATACATAAGAAACAAGAATGGTTAAAACCTCTAAAAAGTAAGAATATAAAAGCCAGATGGAAGGGTGGGGGGATTGAATACATAAAACAAGAGTCATTTAAAAGACAAAGCACTTGAGAAGGAAAGACAATCTCACATCCTGCAGGCTACTGCAGTGAAGCAAAAGGCTGCCTGCCGACCTGTGGGGAGGTGGTGAGACCTCAGATAGGTTGGGGGAGGGACTTAAGTCACAAGCAGATCAGCACTGTTTGTGCCAAAGCAAGGAACGTGATCCTTCGGGACTCGTTCACTCAGCACTGGTGCAAATGATGAGACAAGGCGTAAGTCAACCAAGACTCAAACCCTGCCCCAGATAAAAGAGAAAAAAAAAATCAAGCTTTAAATATGCAAAGAATAGTACAGAGTGATACAAAAGTCTGTACCACGAGTAAGAGTCTGTAAGGTGATGTCCTTTCAAATTAACCTCTCTCTGATATTTTTTCCATAACCTTGTCCTTTATTTCCTTGAAATTTAGCTGGTCACCTTGGGCCTGATTCTCAGTTATGCGAAGGCCCTTTTATGCTACACTGGCAGCATAAAAGAGTGATGGGACTAAGAGTGGATGCAAGTGTAATTCAGGGTTAAAGTAGTTCTCAGAGCTTCCAAAAAAGAGGAAAAGGAGTACTAGTGGCACCTTAGAGACTAACCAATTTAAGCTTT